CTCCTTTGTGAAGCTGATGCTTTTGATATAGGGGATATACGTAAGGTATCGAATACTCTTGTCTTAGCCAAACCAGTATCAATAACAGTAGTAACACCAGATATAGTTACTGATGTCTCAGCAATATTAGTTGATAATATTATCTTAATTTCATTAACTCCTGATGGTATAAAGGCTTCCTTCTGTTTATCTTTACTCTGACTACTGTATCTACAATCATAACAACCACCATTACAACAGCACCATTACTAATATCATTATTACAGATCGCATATCTTTATTTTAAGCTCTGTGTTATTATTATTGTCAGTACATAGTCCCTTTAAAGTAGGTAACACTCGTTCTAATGATGCATGTAATGATAATATATTATCAACACCTAAATGTAGTAGTATTATTATTGTAATAATAGTAGTATTATATCCTTACCAGGTAGGAATACCAATATATCCCCATCTCTCCTACTCCTTCCATGAATAAGATTATCATCCTCTATACCAAGTAATATCTATATAAGACTACTCCCGTATCACTATAACAACAACCACCACCACATTACTACTACTACTACTACTACTACTACTACTACTACTACTACTACTACTACTACTACTACTACTACTACTACTACTACTACTACTACTACTACTACTACTACTACTACTACTACTACTACTACTACTACTACTACTACTACTACTACTACTACTACTACTACTACCTGTATAATAGTGAGTTGGGCAGCCTCTAAGAAGTCTACTTCCTAACAACAACAACACCTTATCAATAAGAACCATTATATATGATTGTTATTATTATTACCGGTGTAGGAGTATAATAGAGTGCAACAGGATATGTCCTACCAGGTACCACTACTGTATTCACACTACATCCTGATTGTAGGAAATATTCTTTAAACTTATCAGCTACTACAGTAGCAGACATGAGTACCACCTACTATAAAGAATATTAATAATAGTAATGTTACACATTCATCATTACTTTAATATTATCCCTCAACTTCACATCTACTAGTGCATTAGATACTAAACCTAATACTGTATCAGTGTATAGTGATCTCTCGTGTATCTATGTATACAATGCTATTACTACTACTATCATAATCATTACCTCATCAATAATAACAACAGTATATCTAGATAATGTTGGATCAACTACTGCCTCTCTTAGTAATATACCTATATTAATCATGATTATATTAATCGTATAGTATTATTATTACCATCTGTACAGAACTTGATCCTAGTACGATGATTAGTATTATCATCAAATCTTACTGCATATCCTACCACACCTTCCCCTAATATAGTACCCATTTCCTCAGCTACTCTACTAGCTACAGTAGTAGCTGCTACTCTACGTGGTTGTGTTATAACCTCACGGAACTGTTTATTAGTTATCTTATTCCTATACTTATATAGGTATTGTGGTACCTAATAGTATTATTAATGGATACTACTACTATCTTCATTAGTACCTGTGTAGTTTTACCAGACCCTGTATCCCCAACTAATATTGTAACATTATTATTAACAACTGATGTTACTATAATATCCTCATATTTATGTACTGGTAATTTACATCGTACTGATGCTAATTCCTGAATGATGATGATAGCAAGGAACTCATTATCACCACCCTGGTAGATACTCTTTATTACAGCTTTTCGTGCAGCCAATGCACTAGAGGTGGATAAGGAGGATGATGATGAGATCATACTGATGACCACAGTAGCAACAGCAGAAGCAGCAGCAGAAGCAGGATGATGAATAGAGGAAATGTAAGGTAAACTAAGAATGCAAGATTGAAGACATTTCCAACAGCAGGGCGCAAACAAACCGTGTCACTAAACTTTGTGTCCTAAATCACTAAATTAGACGCGCGCGCCCCTGTGATCGGTTTATGCGCGCCTAAGGTTAAGAAAAAGAACATCCTTCACACCGTTTTCAGGTGTATGGATAGACAAACATATAACCCGACTAACCGCTATTATTATATGCCGTGCTGGCCTTTCCCGCATGAGGTATGATCCTGCTATTACTACCCGCTACCGCTGGATTCCCCTCCGTCAGCGTAAGTGGTTATCTTTTGACGAGAAGAGAGAGAGGCACGCCTACGTCGGAGAGACTGCTCAAAACTTCCTCCACGCGAATGGTATCAACGAAAGCTGGCTGAACAGTTGTTCGATTAAGTGGGTGAAAAATCTCGCGTGTCAAGACTTGAGACGGAGGTTATATCATTTGCTACTACTTGCCAGGTTCCACAAAGATCCAACAGGGTTCACGACACGTCAGAGAAAACGTCTTCGAGAGGTCTGGCATCGGTACTCAGTCTTCCATTAACCTACCGTGGCACGGTAACCGTGCTTCTTTCGCCGGAAAAATGCATTGCCGTGGATGCCAAGAAACTTTTATCATCTAATAATCAGAGGCTTAGAACCGATTACTTCTCTGTCAACCCGCAAAACCAACAACTCAACTCGTAATGCATCGATGAATTCACTTTCCACTCAAT